ATTTGTATAAAGATAGTTAAAATTTCAAACAATAATATTAGCTTTATGTGTTGTTTTTTTAGGTGAATCAATTGCAATTGATAGAATATCTTTAAAAGACAGAGTTCACAAAATAGTGCTGAAGTAATCAAAATAGTGCTGAAGTAATCAAAATAATTTTTAATTATTCAGGAATTTTAAGGATTAAATTATTTAGCAAAAAAAAAGTTTGATAATGAGTTCAATTTAAATTTAAAAAAAAAACTAATATTAGTTCTCGCATAATTAATATCAGTTCTCTTATCTATTAAAATTTAGAATATTTTCCAACAATTTTGTGAGCTCCATGAATATAAAGGGGAAAGGTGGAAATATGCATTAAGAGCACTAATTTATATGGTGTAGTGAATGGTATACCTTTATAAGATATGTAAAAATTTTTTATTCTCATTTTTTATATATTCAAAAATTTCTTCTTGTGTTTTTTTTTTTTTTTTTTTTTTTCTAATTCTTTTTTATTAACAGCTTCTTCTATTAAATACGATGGAGCAACTGAAACTTTAATTGATGGCATTTTGTTTAACTTCTTATGCGCTCCATTTCAAAATGGCAGCGGAAAAGAAAAAAATTTAGATTGATTGATATAAATTTATATTTATAAAAATCAATCTAAAATTTCTTTATTGAAATATTTACATATATTTCAATAAAGAAATATTTTATATTTGTCTGCTAATATTTTTTTTTTCAGTTGTTAATTCAACATTACAAATTAAAACTCAATTATGAAAAAAGCCTAGTATTGAGTTGACGCTTTAAGTAAAATAAGAAAAGCCCAAATAGTAACTGATGTAATATTTTTATTTTTTTTTTAAAAAAAAAATTCTAATAATGTTTAAAATTGGTATAAATATTAATGTTTATTAGATGAAGGTGAATAAAAAATAAGTTAATGTTTATTAGATGAAGATAAGTAAAAAATAAGTTACAAGTTATTTTTTGGTATCTTAAATTGTTTGAATTATAATTTATTATTTACTAAATTATTTTCTTTTTTTATTTTTGTTGCTTTTATATTTCAATTAAAAGTAGATTATATTGTGTCATATATTATAATATACCTTATATTATACTATTATATTTTATATTAACAATGAGCATTTTTGTATTTCTATTTTTGTTCAATATTCCATAATTATCTTATGTAGATGTTTATGTTTTAGCAACCTAGGATTCTTTCATTATTTTTCTTTGTTATTAAGCCTTAAGTTATTTGAACATAATATATTCATAACTCTGCTGAATAATAGAGTAATAAATAAATTAATAAAAATGAGTTTAAAATATAATAAATTTATAAAATAAAGAAAATCTTTGCTATAATGTCTACTAATATTATTGTTTAGCAAGTATCATGGATATAAAATGTTCAAATTTATCTAGTTTAATTAGGCCTGTTAGTACACTTATATTATGGTTTCTTCATTTTATTATTAGCTTATGTAATTTTTTCAAAATTGAATATGTGGAAAGGAGCTGTTTGGAATGAAGATTTACAAGAATAAGTAATTCCATCTAATTGGATTAGTGATAAAACTGTATGTCGGCTTCCAGGTACCAAAGCATTGACTGCACTAAAATCCAGAGAAGAATTGGCTTAAGTTTATACTAATAAAAACTAAATTCTCTTCAGGTATTACATCTATATATTACAATTATTATTTTTTAAATAATGTGGTAAGAAGAGTTTTTTTGCTGATACAAAATATATAACTATTTGTATAACTATTTCAATTCCAAAAGAAAGCAAACCGTATTGTGAAAATTTTAAATAAACAACTACAAAAGAAAATTGTGATAATGAGAATGTTAACAAGTGGATGCAAGATGTTTTTTAAAAATAAATCAATTACAGTTAATTGGTGGAACGTCTTCTAAAGATAGAATACACAAAATTATGCTGAGGTAATCAAAAACAATATTGGACTCTTACCTCATTTATAATTAGGGTGTCCGCAGCTCCTCTAAAATCCTCTAAAGTCCTCTTTTTTTAAAAACCACATCTAAAATCCTCTATTATCCTCTAAAAAGGTAAAAATTTGATCAAAGCTCCTCATTAGCTCCTCTTTTTTAATTTTTGATGGAAGTATAATGTTCAAAATACCCATTCTTGGTCTGCAAAACTGGTTAACGTCTTAAAGTGCATGGAATTGCAAAAAATTGCTTTAGCAAATGCATGCTATTTAACATAAAAAATGACATTATTTGATCCCTGTCCAAGCCCTATAAGTGTATAAACATGGACGTTAAACCAATAATAAATGGCCACATAAACTTTCTTCAAAAAATTTTATGTGGTTACCCCGAAAATTATTTTTCAATGCTAGAAATGTTTTATATTTTGATTATTAATTTATTTTGAAAAAAGGTTGTTTTATTTAAATTAAATATTTGAAAAAGTTGTTAATAACCAACTATATGGTCTCTATAGTTATATGGCCTCCACGGGTATGAAGGGCAAAGGTGGAAAAATATGTTTTAAGAACACTAATCTATATGGCGTTGAAAAAGATATACCTTCATAAGTTGTAACACTTTTCCATTCATTATATTTTTTTTAAATCTTCCCTTTTTGATTTTTTTTTATATATTTTTTTTATTTACAGCTTCTTTTATTGTATTCAATCGACCAAAAGAAACTTCGGTTAATGGAACGTTGTTTGATTCTTTCAAATTACGCTATATTTCAAAAAGGTAGTGGAAAAGAGAAGAAATTTGTGTAGATTTTATTCAATTATATGTAAATATATGTAATATTTAAATATATTTTTCAATAAAACAAGTTTTATCTCTTTCTTTAATCATACCTAGCTATTTTAACCAATCTAAACTAAAAACGTTCTAAATAGTATAAGTACAGACTACGAATAGATTTAATACCCATAATATACCTTGATAATTCACAGCAACACTAATGTACATGCATAGTACGTTTTGATGGTGATCACATTTTGCCGCACATTGCACGTTTACATACATATATACATTTTGACATACATAGCACGTTTTGATGGTAAAAAAGTGTTTTAACAGTCGTTTTAACATTGATAAATCAACGTTAAAAAAAACTTTCATTTTAAACGTTGTATCAACGTAAATTTAACGTTATTGTAACGTTTTTTCGCGTCAAATCAACGTTGATATAACGTTTGAACCTAACGTTGATTTAACGTTGATAAATCAACGTTGAAAAAAACTTTCATTCTAAACGTTAAATCAACGTAAATTCAACGTTAGGTTTCAACGATAGTTCAACTTTATTTCAACGTTATTTGCCGGCTGGGGTGTATTTTTGTCAACAATGATTTAACGTTGAAATAACGTTAAATAATCGACGTTTAAACTGTATAGTTGATTTAACGTTGAAATAACGTCAAATAATCAACGTTTAAACGGAGGCGTTGATTTAACGTTGTGACATAGTTGAACAACGTTGAAACAACGCTTCAACCGAATTTCAACGTTGAAACAACGTAATAATGCCGGCTGGGATTGATTTTTTTAAATAAGTAAAAAAAAATTAAAACTTTGTTTAATATTGAGAAAATAACAAAATCAAACTATGGTTTGTGTATTTTTAAAAGATTTTATCAAAGTTGTTAGTCCTTGGCTTTGGCCTTGTCTTAAGGCAAAAAACTGAGGCCTTGGCTTTTGCCTTGGCCTTGAAACTGTTGGCCTTGACCTTGAATATTTTAGCTTTGGCCTTGATAGTTTTTGTCTTATCCTTAAAAAAAATATACATATTTTCTTATTGATTTTGTTGAATTCTGCGCTTAACCTTGGTTTATTTTTACAAAATGTGGTTTTGTTGTCACAGCACTTGCTACTTACAGTTTTGTTAATAATTGGCCTTAACGTAAGGTAAAAATTGAAGCCTTTGGTCTTGAAAATGTTTGCATATGCCTTGGCAATTTATCTGTAATAACATTCTAAACTTATTTTAATGACGTTTCTTATAAATACTCTAATTAAATTTTAGAAAATAACTTTGTCGTTTTTATCAGTATTTTTATTATTATTATTTTACAAAGTGAAATAATAATATTAATAATAATAATAATAATAATAATAATAATTACTGATAAAACTAGGGTTGCCAGACGTCGGTTGCCGGCTTTTACGGAGAAGAAAAGAGCGCCAAACTTGTATAAATAATTTTTTTTACTGTGTTCTCTTTTGTAAAAGCCGGACATCTGGCAACCCAAGATAAAACCCGCTGAGATATCAAGTATTCGATGACGCAGTTTTAAAAAAGCATATAACACTGTTTAAAAAAGAATGACGTGTTTTATAATGAACTTTAATTTGGTTCGTTCTGCGTTGACGCCAATGACGGCTTAAATTAATACTTTTTGTAAAGATAAATTCGATAAGTATCAAAACTGTTTCTTTAAATCAGGCAAATAAAAAGAAAAAATTTATGTAAATCAAAAAAATAAATAAATAAACTTAAATAGTTTATAAACAACAAAAAATTTATATGGAAAAAAAAAGATTTTAGTGTTATTATTGGCAAAGTTACATGTTTCATGAAAGTTACATGTTTCATGTATATATTATCGTTATTATTGCCGTCATTAATTTCAATGCTAGCCCATATTAAAATAAGTTCTTATTAAACTCAGTATTGTTGATCTTTTTTAATAACTTTTTTTTTTAAACTTTGTATAAAAAAACAAAATTTTGTTTTACGTGCACTTTAAAGAGTTTTAAAGGAAAACGAGACTTCAAATCTTCGTTGATTTTAATGTTCGAATTAAGTAAAACTTTATGTTTAAAAACCAGACTTTATATTACATATATATGACAATTAAATATTTTTGTATATATGATAATATACGTCATTGTAACTTTGATCTAATGATATGATGGGCCTTTTTAATTCCTGTCACAACAATAAGTGACAGTGTAATAATAATTCCTTTTGTTAATAATGGAGTCAATATATTTAAGTATTTTTCTGACTAAAGTAGCAATCATAAATTTATGGTCGTGAAAAAAATTAAACAAAGGATTTAAATAAACATTTGCGTCATTAATTCTATATAAGATAAAGTTTTTGTTTTTATTATTTATTCGTTTTTTCTGCGATTGTTGTAAGAAGGATAAAAAGTTTGACGTTAAACTTATTGACTAAAATGGTAAGTTTTTGTTACTCTCAAAATTTCTTTAACACAATTTAATGCTTTTATAATTGCAGGGATGTTTTTAAACTTTTTACTAACTAAATACTCATATCTTTGGATCTTTAAGAAAAAATCTTTCAACGGTGAACGTTTTGACAGTTGAAAGTTTATGGCCGGCAATTTTTGAAATATTATATTATAACATTGACAAAAATTATTTACGCCGGTAAATTTTACGAATTTCTCGGCATTAGGGGTTCTGTGATATTCTATTTGGATTCTGTGATATTCTATTTGGACCTAAAATCTCTAAAATTTTGACTTTTAAAATTATTATATTAACATGTCAGAATTTTTTTTGATAAAATCAAAAAAGAAATATGTTAAAGAATAAATATAGCATATAGAATTTTTGTTTATTTTGTTTATAAAAATTGGACAAAATATTTTCATAAAATAACTGATTAAATAATACTTTAAAATAAACTGACGACAATAACATTTATATGAGATAACGCAAACGTTTAAAAACTCATTGTTTTTGTAAAATTGCGATGAAGCAAGAGTGTATTGTTAGCATATTTGTTTTATTACAATGGTTCATTATCTCCATGAATATTATGGTTTGTAATTATAAAAACATGTAACAAAAGTAAAACTCCAAAATATGTCATCGTATCACGTGATTGGAACAATAAAGCCTTATATACGTTTTCTCTTCTTAACTTTGTTAAATTTTAGAAATTATTAACGAATTGCCCAAAATAAACACTCTTAGTAAAAAAATATCCATAAAAAAGGTTCAACCTTAGAGTACAACCCATTAGCAACAACCCTAACTTATACTAAAATATACTTCTTTTAAACATTATAAAAAAAACAACGACAGGAATTCAAGTCTTTTTTGAAACTGGTGATATTTTATTTAAGAAAGAAGTTAAAGTTTCTCCTGTTTTAAAACTATAAAAAAAATTACAAAAGTTGCTTTTAGCTCTTGAAATATTTCAAAAACAAATAAGATGTAAAAATTACAAACGAGATATCAAACTCGACACATTTAGAAATGAGAAGCATTAAAATAATTTTGGCGTTTAAAATAATAGTTATTTTACTAGCATAGAATTTTAAAAGTCTTTGTAGCCAGGGAGTCTAAAGCTCCGGGTCATTATTATTTTCTACAGAGAATTGAAGTTTCTAAATATTTTCAGACCTTTTGGGCTTTTAAAAGCTTTAAGGTTTTAAAATATACAAAAAATAGAAAATAAACTTTGGATGTCTTATTTGGCACATCTCACATTTTTTATAGCTTTTGTAGCTTGTACCGCAAAAGCTATAAAATCATTAATTAGTTTCGAAGTTAACAATCATTGAAAATTTAACTTTTATAGAGTGATTCTGATTCTGATGATAACTGCCATCACAATTCAAAAAAGAAATCGAGTATCAAGAAATGCATTAAAGAAATGAAAAAAGAAATGTTGCAAAATATCGAAGAACGTGAAGTTTTGATCAACCTTGATTTGTTTGTATTGGACAATTCACTTCGCGAAACAACTGTTGGTGCTTTGCGTGGTCACACTCTTCAAAATAAATTTGAAATTTATGAACAAGTAAGATAGGATTTTTTTTTTTTTTTTACTCCTGTTTAAAGTTATAATTTTCCTAGTAGTAACAATTTTAATTTTAATTCGAGCTTTTTAGTTAGTAAAATATTTTTAAAATTTTTAAGGTACATTATAATAAACAAGATACCAAAAAAATTATGTATTTCTAAAAAGTAATGATTGATAATTTTATTTTGGTAATAAAATTAAAGTAGGATTTTTCACTTCGTGAAGTACGGTCCGTTAATTTTAATAAAGAGATGAGTACGAGGCTCATATTGAAAGCATAACTTGAATAAGTCAATTTTGTAATTTGTAAAAACAATGCATCTTTAAACACACAAACAAATATTTACACATAGATAGGAAACTCCATAGTAAACAATCTGTTTTCTTATAAAAAGTCTTTTAATTAACTGCTTTTACCTTTTAAATTACAAAAGCTAATATGTTTAAGGTGGTTCATACCCTTAAAAAAAATTTCAAAGAAAACTAGTCATTTTAAGTGGTTTAAGTGGCAAACATTCAATAGAGTTGTATACTAAAAAAGCTATTAAATCAATATTTTTTTAAAATTTTGCCTTGGTTCTGCTTTAACTCCTTTACAATACCACTACAATTATACCCTGAAAATTTCAAATCATTTAGACTATCAGATCGAAAGATATTTTAAATATAAAACTGAAAATAACTAAAAAAAGAAAATAGGTTAAAACTAAAAAACAAAGAAAAAATGCAATAAAATAATAGGTCTCAGCTGCACAGGCTGGTATAGTTTCACTTTGTTTTTCTTCCTACACAAATTCTTTCCTGATGGTTCTCAGTTTCTTTTTTCTCTCAGTTCCCCTTTTACTACACTTTTTATTCATTAATGTTTTACTTTGATTGTCCATTTACGTAGCATTATTATTTAAAAAATAATTTTTCGGAAGGTTTGCAGTGTGTTTAGTTACCGCAAAACTTTCTTTTATGTTTTGAAAGTGTTGATCTAGGAATGAGTTAACTTCCTCTAAAATTAAACACCCTTAATTTATTTTTATTTGGAATATATAACAACAATAGCAATAAACAAATGAAAATCACTTGACAACTGTAAAGACTGAAAATTAAACAACTCTAATTTCATGTGGCAAAAAATATTATTTTAAAGTATGGATTTTAAATAACTATTGTCTTGCTTTTTCAGCCTCAATAACACTTTTTCCAACTTGAGAATAGAGAAAGTTGCGTTGGAAAATTAAAAAAAGTTTTCATGTGTAATCAAATGTTTACTAATTATTATGAATAATTTTAAAGATAGAATTAAACACGTTAGGAAAACCTGCACTTATTCACAGCTTCACAATATTTTTTCACTTAATCTTTAAATCTTCCCAATTCGAACTTGTTCTTATGATCTCTAACTTTAAGTAACCGTTTCAGTTTTTTGTGTTCATGATATGTATTAAAAATATATTACCAAACAAAAGTTAACTATTGTAAGTACTGTTGTATATTAGCAAATGCAACACTGAAGTATTTCAATAGTTTATTTTTTATTTATTCATAGATATTTTCTTAATAGGTAAAAAAGGTTGGTTTCCAACATTGCATTGTTGCCTCATTTTCACACATGACAGACGTTTGTGACACTTTTATTGAAGAATTAAGAAAACAAGGGGAAGATATGAGCACTATGTATGCTTTCACAGAGTTTGCAAATGATGCTAACAGCGAAGGAATCCCATTAAGCAATTTACCTGTTGGTTTACAAAAATGCAAACAGTTAGGAATTAAAAATGTGATAATTGAAGCGGATCTTGTTTATTATAAATATGATTATGAGAAATTTGATCATAATGCAATGTGCGCACTTTTTATTGAACGTTTTGAATGGATTCGAAATAACTTATCCAACAATTCTAACATTTTAGTTAATCTAAGGGATCTTCCTGATGCACTCAATAAAGTTCCAGAAAGGGCTTTAAAAATGGTTGAGTTCCTTGCAAGTTATAGACCACAGATTTTTGCAATTATAACAGAAGAGTCCGGAAAGTATTTACCCGAAGAGCTTGGTGTTTGGGTGCGCACTTGCAAAAAAGTAATGAATAATTCAAAATTTAATGGTCATTTCCTTATACATGTTCACCAACAATGGGGTATGCTTGACGCCACACAAATAGAATGTCTTGCTAATGGATGTACTGGTATCTGGGCAGGTATTTGTGAAGAAGGAGCGTCAATGGGACACGCTTCGTCTTGTTTAACCATAATGAATTTAGTTCGTATGGGCAACAAAAAAGTGTTAAAAAAATTTCACTGTGAAGAGTTACGAAATGCAGCAATTGAAGTAACACGCATAACAACAGGCCACGATCCTCATCCCAAGCAAACAATCTACGGAGCTCGTGCATTAGATCAAGTGTTTGGTTTGCCACAGTTTGACCCAACAAAAGCAAAAGACATTGTGGGTGATTTTGATATGGCAAAGTTTTTTGGTCAAGAAGCTACAATGAGAATATCAATACTAGCAGACGAAGCTATGATTTTAACAAGAATGAAACGTTTGTTCGGTGATCATCCATCGCATACATTTGATATTGCAAAAAAGATGAAAGCACTTATGCATGATGAATTGAGAGCTGGTCGCAAGGAGGAGTACCATAGTCCGATGGGTCTAGCAATGTTGTTTGATCGAGCTGGAGGAAAGCTTACTTCAGCTATGGCTGAAGCAATTGCTCTGGTAATTAAACTTTATTAACTATTTATTTGTTTGAATCTTCTAATATTTTTATATTTCCGAATAATATTTATTGCTAATTTAACATAACAACAAGACAAGCAACCACTTGGAAATCAAGGTTATAGGCCCATTATGTGCAAAAGTATAATCTGTTAAGTACAGGAGAAAGTAGACAGACAACAACATAGATAACATAATAAATAGTATGATAGATAACACGGTGTTGTCTATCTATACTTATCAAATAATTAAATTAATAAATAATACGTATTTAATACTATTAAATTTCAAGTTGGCAGTTTATAAATTTAGCAGCCAAATGGGGAAAAGTAATAGAGTATTAGCATACATACAATGCTTTTTTAAAAGAATAGGTACTACGATATAAGTTTTTGCAGATCAACTAGTATCAAAATCACTTAACAGGTTGTCTTTCCATCAATTGCATTGACAACTGTTTTACAAACAAAAAAACTATTTTTAATTAATCAAGTTTTAAAAACAAGAAACTATTTTACTTCAATCTTACATAAAATTTAAGGAATACATATTAAAAAAATGGTAACTTAAGTTAACTTTTAGAGTAATATTTTTCATTTAAAAAAGAGACTGGCTTGTTGCACATTCTAACGTTTGTAGTTACTAACTATAAGTTAAATACAGTAAAAAATTAAAAAAATTCCAACCCATTTTATTAACTTTATAACATATTTTTAGGTTAATACAAATTCTGCAAACATTGACAGACTGATTGGCGAACTATACGAGCAGTGGAAACAATGGGATTTGCGTGATGGTAAAGCAGATGATTGTCTCACATTTGATAATTTTTACGATGGCTTTATGAAAGGTTACTTTGGCTGTTATCGATGTTCTGAAGCGCAGCAATGTTTAAAAGCAATCAATGCTAATGACGACCTATCAATTGATTGGAAAGAATTTTCCGTGTTTTTGAAATGGGCTGGTTATGAATACCCCGAAACTAAAACCTCTGAAGAGTTGTTGGACATTGCATTTAGGAAAGGCATAATACCAGCTATGCAAGATGAATTAATTAGGATGAGCAAGGCAATGGTCTCATAAATTAGTATTATTAATATAAAATTGGTTATTAGTTGTATAAAAAGTATTTAAAGTGTGTTACAAACGTTGCATTATTTTACAAATTTATTTCAGAATTTTTATTAGTTACAAATATACTATGAAATCTGTATTTAAAAAGTTTGGTTTTTAATAATAAATATCTTAGAAAAAAAGTATTTTTTAAATTATTTGTGTTTTTAATAGTTAAAAACATGAATAACAATTTTTTTAAGTTTACTTCTGTTTTTTAAAACTAAAACTATCATTATAAAATGTATTTAGTTTTATAAAAGCAAAAGTTATAAAATAAAACCTTTTTATTAGTTTGTTTTAAGTTGAAGGTTAAGTGAAACAGTGTTGCTAATAGTTACCACGGTGTTTAATTGTGTGGCCTATAAATAGAACTAATTTTGGAATTTCTAAAATCATAGAACATGACAATTTTGATTTTCAATCTACAACTTTTAATTTTTCGTATTTACTACTAAAATATGAACTATTAATTTTTAAGCCTACTGCATTTTCAACCTACTAAATTTTCAACTTACTGATATTTCAATCTACTGCACTTTCGACCTACTGTTTTTTCAATCGACTTTATAACTACGTCTTTTCCGGTATGTATTTTGTTTATTTGTTGTTAATTTGAATCAGAGTTTAAATAACCGTGGTGCAGTGACTGGAGCGCTGGCTTATTATTGAGAGGTCAAAGATTTAATACCTGGTCTAGGTATATAAGGCGGCGTATAATTTGTCTTTAAATGCTCTTCCGCGACAAAACCGTTAAGTCTTGGTATCTTAATAACGAGAAGAAAATGAAAAAAAAAATCATTTTCTAACATTTAATATAAATGGTGGTATTTTATTCTTCAAGGAGACCTAAAAGTCTTATCATAGAGCATTACGGAAGGGTATTTAACAAGGATGTTTGCGCCTCCTCCGGTACCAATGTCGCTTATTTAACCTCTTAATACTCTCGAGTCATTAATACAAAGTAGGAGAAAGAATAAAAGGAAGGATTTGAAATGTTAAATTTTTTAAATTTTAATTTTCGACTTTTTTTTCACAATTTTATTGATGACATATTGAGATTTACTTGGTCGATAATTTTTAAAGCCTGTTTACGCTGAAAGTTTTTGATTTTATCGGTGACTGAAATAATTATTTTTAATATTTAAGATCGATTTTCATTAAATGTTTGTTTTAGATTTAAGATATAAATTTTTTGTTAATAACAAGTAAAAATAAACGGGGAGGAAGGAGAGTATTAATAAACTTAGGATGAGTGGAAAAGTTTTCAAAAAAATTTAGGGTAGTTTTGCGGGATTGGTTACACATTTCAAATTTGGTCAACATACATTTTCCATCGTATCTCTCCTTTACGAATAATCTCCTTCATTTAAATCAGGTTTTTTTTAAATTTACATTAAGAGGATCATTTCCACATATTTCCGTTAAGCTTAACGGAGTATTTGTCGGAAATTTCATTTTTTTAAAGTGAAAGAATATTAAAAACCTCACACAAATCCATTAAAATAGAATAAAAGTTAAAATCAAACATTAATTAAAAATATATATATATAAAATTATTTTTTTATTAATAAAGATAAAATAAAAATAATAGGATGGGGTCCTACTAAACTTTGTTGTTAAACCTTTTAGTTTAACAACAAAGTTTAGTAGGACCCCATCCTATTATTTTTAAAACAAAGTTTAGTAGGACCCCATCCTATTTATTTTAAAAAAAAATTTAGAAGGACCCCATCCTTCTAAATTTTGCTTTTAAAATAATAGGATGGGGTCCTACTAAACTTTGAATGCTCCGGTGAAAGACTTAATATAACTTAAATAGCATTTTTAATTCACAATGAAAACAAAGAATATTAAACACATTTTTTTCGTTTCAAAATAGGCTTGGGTTCAATAAACTTGTCTTCAAGTTAGTAAATTGAAAAATATACTTGTGCTGATCATACTGCCCCAATCAATATTTGTTTAGAACAATTAATAGAAAAAAATGTAAGTAACGCCAACTGTGTTTATTTTAGATTAAAATGATATAAATATTTTTATAATTAATTAAATATAATTACGTAATTAAATTAAAAAAAAAAAACACTTAAATGCTCATCCGCGGTGCTCTGTGATAAGACCGTAAGAACTTTTTGAGGCACCTAAATAAAAAAATAACCCCCTTCCTCCCCGTCGGAATAGCCCTGCTTTCTTGCACGGTAAGGGTGAAACATTATCTACTTGTGTCACTATAAATATTAAAAAACAATCAATAACAAAGTTAACTAAATTCTCAAAAGGTTAATTTAATCTTTCTCAGCTCAAATAACAAATTAAAGCTCCATAAAAGCACATATTTGAAGCTACCGAGACGTCGTTTAAATAAAAGCACATATTTGAAGTTACCGAGACGTCGTTTAATAAATTTTCAAGTACCAACGTAACTGGTTATAGTTTGTACTGAAAAGATAGAAGCAATTAAAGATGCGTAGCGTTATATATAGAAAATGAAATAGATTCGTATTTACTTAAAGATGTTTTCTTTATTTACTGTAAGACTGAACAAGTTTAGACAATAATAACTATATGCAGATCTAAATATTTAGTTGGATGTATATACAGGCCATATTATATGCTAGATATTATAGACCAGGGTAATGTATTTAAAAATGCTATAGCTTATGTCAGAAAATTTGGCATTAAGGAATAATGGGAGACTTCAATGTCCTAAATATTAAATCGTCTAATGGCAAATTTTATCAAATAGTAGTAGCATTAAATTCCTATTTTAAGAAACAAATTTTGAGCGATTTTTGATTCAACATGCGGGTATACCAACATTTCAATTAAACAAATATAACAGTTTAATTACATCTTATTTTAACATTGCATTTCGGTAATATTATTGAGCTTGAATCAAAATTCATCTTAGTCAACGTAGTCAAAGGTCATTTGCTACTTTGTTTTAAATTTTTCAATTTTAAAAATGTGGCTTGTAGCAACCAATTTATAAAATGGATTATAAAAGAGGTAATTTCCTAATAAGTTAAATAAATAATAATGTTAAATAGTATGAATTGAATTAATGTTTTAAAGTCCAACCAGTACAGTTAATGTAGATATATTGCTGATGTGTTTAACGGAAGCTTGCAGTTACTTTGACCTAAAAATATGTTTAAATTTGAAATGCAAAAATTTTTTTTAATAGTAAGAAAACTCTTTGTTATATCATTTTTTTGTCTGGATAGGAAGATATAGTTAAAATTAGGCAGTACAAAATAATATGTAAAAAAGTAAAAAAAGAAGTGTTGTTGGTTAGGAAATTATTTGAACAAGATTAAGTTGAAAAAATTTTTAAAAATCCAAAACTATTATATAAATATGTAAATTCGCAAAAACCAGTTAAGTATTAAAGTAATCAGAAACAATTAATAACAAACGATCAAAATAAAATTGTGAAAATTATTAATAACCAATTTAGTTTCGTGTTTGTTAACAAAATGTTAAACATCATGCCAGATTTTAAATTGGATAATAGAAATAACACCGTATATATTGATGACAGTATTGTTGAATATATCGCTTAAAAAAATTAAAAATTTATAAAAAAAATTAAAAAATTATAAAAAAAAACTATTGAATCTTATAAATCTTGCGGTCCTTGTTCAGTTTTCAAAAAGTATTCTACCGCATTGTCATCACAAATAAATTTAGTTTTCAAAGCTTCAATTGAAATCTCCTACTTGCCATTACAATGGAGATCCGCTGATGTAAGATCATTGCACAAAAATGGTAATATATATTATCCGCCTGTAACTACAGGCCATCGCGAATGTTGGCTGTTTTTTCCCATGCAAATACAATCCAAATACAATTTCCCATGCAAATACAATGTTGATCTAATGACATTTGTTTATTAATGATAACAATGATAAGCCTAATACCAACGCGACTGCAGGGTCATAAATACATATCACCCTTTATATAGACTATATATTTCTTAATAAATAAATATAAGAGAAAGGAAAAATTATATTCAAATTATAATTCTGATGAATATACAACACAAAATATAACATCGCATCAACTTAAAATGCAACCCTAACTTAAAATACAACGTTGAGCCAATATTGGTTTTTACATTAGCATTTGCTACATTTGGCATGAGAACTACTAATATGAGTTCTGAGCTTCTTTTGAAGACATTTTTTTTAATCTTTAGTTGCTATGGATGCCAAATTTTGCATAGCAACAATTTATTTTTTGTAGTTGCAGATTTTTATGTGTGCTGTGTACAATATATTTGCCTCATGTATGAATATATAAATGTTTCTGATAAAGGTAGTTTTTAAAATTTAGTTGTTATGGACACATAAGTTTGCATTGTAACAAGCTTTTGGTAGTCGCACAGTCGATTTTTTATACGGAATTTATAACAAGTTTTATAGTTGATGAAAAACGAATACCCACTTGGGATGTAACCTCTTCAGTTAATTCTTTATTTTAAAGATATGAGAAGCGTCTGTCTGTGTTAAGTTACCACTTTGTACTTCATTTAAACATTTGGTTAATGTTTCCTGGGTATATAGAATATAATCACAACTCTCACCAACACGTTTATATGTCCTTGACATGATCTCTATGTTATAAATATAATTTTTTATTTTTAAAACCATAAATTAAAAGTTGAATGAAATATAGGATATCAGAAAACAAAGTTTTCTGAAAAATGAGTCAAAAATATAATATTGAATGTCAAATAATTACATTTTTTTGGAGAGCCGAAAGTCACCAAAAGTTAAAATTATTTCTTATAATTTAGCCATAATTAGGGGAAGTTGGGGCACAGTTGATCAGATTTCTTTATTTTTTAAATTGAACAACAGTTAAAATATGTAATTTATTTTTTTCAAGGCGAAAGGATTGAGATATATGGCCTTCATGATAATAAATTATTAAAACCCAAATACTTATTATCTAACGGCTCACAGAAAGGTTTAAAGTGAGTTGTGTTATGTAATTCACTGTGCCCCAGTACTAGGGCACAGTGAATAAATGAACA